TCCTGACTCCTGTTTTGGTGGTGGAGCTGTTACTGGTGCAGATTTGGTAGGAGCTGTCACTGACTTTGAAGGCTGTTGGGGTTTCGCTGCTTCTTGTTTTGAAGGAGCCTCCTTTTCTTTAGATTGGGTTGTTTGGGGTAACTGCACCTCAGTTTGTTTTTCAACAGACTGTGGCTGCTGTTGAGCTAAATCCTTGGTCTTTCCTTGTTCACTACCTGAATCTACCTGTCTATTTTGTGCAGATTTAGCCATAGGTTTCTGGTTGTCTTTCCTAAACAGGCTTTCTTGAGTTGCAGTTTCCTCTCCTTGGGTTTTTGTTCGAGTAACCTCTCGTTCTGACAGAGGTGATGGAATAGCCTTGCTTGATCTCGTGGCCTCTGGTGCTTCTGAGGCTTTTTGCATCTGGCAATTCAGACAAAGCCATTCCTTTACCTATGTAGATAGAGGATCAAAAGAAGACATTATATTTACAAGTTTTGAGAAAAATAATTAGAAAACACAAAAGCACAACATAAATGTTAATTCTTTGTTAACACTTATATTTAAAATAGAAACAGGTTGTTTTTTAGAATTTAAAGCTTAGAAAAAAATGAAAAACTTATTAGCATAACTTGGTAGTATTAGCCATAAAATATTTGTACAATTGCTTTACCTCTGCCTCATCTGAACACGAGTTAAATCCACACTGGTTGCAGGCTGTTGTTTTACATTGTGTGCATGTGTTATAGTTGGGAGGGTCTTTGGAGCCTTTGTTCAGTTGTCCCTTACACAGTGGACAGACTGTGTTCTCTGGAACATGTTGGGCATCTGTCTTTACAGTTTCTGCTAAAGTATTAGTCACTTCAGCTTGTCCAGTTGGCTTAGTTTTGGCTTGCTTTTGTTGATCTCCCTTTTTCTCATTATTTTTCTCGACAGCAGTTAGCTTGACATCCTTTTTGGCCCCAATTTTTGGAGAAGCTGGTGGGGTAATTTTGGCCCCAGTTTTTGGAGAAGCTGGTGGGGTAATTTTAGGAGATGTACGTGCTGATGCTGATGACAGTTTACGAGGAGTTGGTGGTGTAGTTTTAGGTTCATCTTGGACAGCTGAAGTTATTAAAGTGGTTGCAGAACTCAAGAACGAAGATCCAAAACCAAACATTTTCCCTGTTACTGACTCAGTTGGTTTTTCTGCTGCTGGCTGAGTTTTAGGACCACTAAAGCCAAAGAAGCCTCCTGATTCCTGCATTGATGGGGAAGCGGCTGGTGGTACCGACTTGGCAGGGGCTGTCTTTGACTTTGAAGGCTTTTGGGGTTGCACTGCTTCCTGTTTAGAAGGACCCTCTTTTTGTTCAGTCTTGGTAGTCAAATCGCCATTTTTTCCTTTTTCAGTACCTAAAACTGCCTGTGTATTTTGTGTAGATTTAGCAGCTTTCTGGTAATCATTCTTGAGGGGACCCTCTGGAGTGATATCTTTGGTGATGCATGCAATTGATGTAGTTTCCCCTCTCTCTGTTATTTTTCCTGTAACATTATGTGCTGACAGAGGAGGTGTAAAAGCGTTGGCTGATCCGGTGGGCTCCAGTGCTCCTAAGGCTCTTTGCATCTGGCAGTTCAGGCAAAGCCATTCCTTTACCTTAATGGAAAAAACAAAAACAAATGAAGATGTATGTTTTTACAGGTTAACAAGAAAAACGGCAGCATTTGTCATAATTAAAGTGAATTATCCTCAAAACATTTTAGAAATAAAGTGAACTAAAAATAAACTAAAACTATTTACCCCTGGCTCATCTGGTAATGGTTGAAATCCACATTGGTTGCAGGCTGTTGTTTTACATTGTGTGCATGTGTTGTAGTTTGGAGGGTTCTTGGAGCCTTTGTTTAGTTGTCCCTTACACAGTGGACAGACAGATGTATCTTCTTTTGGAACACCTTGGATCTCTGCTGTAAGCTTTAAGCGTTGTGTTTCACCAACTTTGGCCTGCACAGCTATAGGAGCCCTGTCTTGACCAGATTTCTCTGCTTGTTTATCAGATGTCTGAACACCAAGTGGCTCAGTGTATCCAGAGAATACTAGCTTGGGAGAAGCTGGTGGTGTCGTTTTGGTGGTTGATGGTGTAGTTTTAGCCTCATCCTGAACAGCTGGGTTCATTAAAGTGGATGCAGAGTTCAAGAAAGATGACCCAAAACCAAACATTTTCCCTGTTACTGAATCACTTGGTGTTGGGGTTGGTTGCTTTGTTTTAGGACCTCCTAAGTCAAGAAGCACTCCTGAATCCTGTTTTGGAGTTGGTGGTGTTGCAGACAAAGGTTTCGGGGGTTGCTCCGACGATAGCTTGGTTGTCTCTAGATCTGATGGAGAAATAGTTTCAGCAAGAGCCGTCAATATATTTTCAGGAAGCTTCTGAGATTCAGATGGTTCTTCTTTTGATTTCTCTGTGGGCTTTTGTGCCTCAGTCTTTCCAATACCTGAAGTTGTTTCTGTTCTTTTATCTGATGGTTCTTTCTTAATGATTAAATCTTTTGCCTGAGTTGTCAATGCAGCTGTTTCTATGGCTTCTTTAGCTGAACTCGAAACAAGGGTTTCTTTGATTTCTTTTGAGTCACAAAGACCTTTGCTTGGGAGGTGATTTTTCATCATGGGAAGGCCTAGAGGCTCTGAAGCTCCAAGTGCCCTCTGCATCTGGCACTTCAAGCATAGCCATTCCTTCACCTAGAGAATACACCCAAAACACAAGTCACATGGTTTGCATTTGTTAACGTTTCTTCAAAAGTTATTATTATCAGGGGTCCCCAACCCCTGGTCCGGGAAACGGAGCCGGTCCATATGTCATTTGATACCAGGCCGCATCGGGATACAGTGCAGAAAAATGTACTTCAGTTTTACTAATTTACTTAAATTCAAAAAGAATCCAGTCATATCCATTTACGTTTTTCATTAAACGATGTTCTGGCAATGTTTTAAAACAATAGGTCATTCATTCTCCGATACTATCAGAATCAAATCTAAAAGACATTTTATTTAGAAAATGTAATGATTCTTCAATGATGGCACGGTATTACGCAGTAATGGCTGATACTGCCGGACCAGTCCTTGGTACAAATAAGGTTGGGGACCGTTGATTTACATTGTTTATGAACTAACAAATAAACTTATTTTAGGTATGTTAAAATATATGCATGTTAATATATATATATATATTCACCTACCTCTGATATATTTGCCAAAGGACTAAATCCACATTTGACACAAACTTTGGTTATACATTCTGTGCAAGTTTTGTAGTTAGGACTCTCTTTGGAGCCAATGTTCAGTTCTGCCTTACAGAGTGGACAGGATTGTTCCATTTCATTGGGTTCCTTGGCGGTTTCTTGCTTCACAGGCTTTGGTGGACCTGTGTGCACTTTGGTCTTCCTTGGAAAAGGATCATCAGGATTATTTTCCTGTTTTAGTTTTTCCTCCTTTCCTAATATTTGACAAACTTGTGGACTGGGTGTAAGTATTGACAGAACATTTGGCTGCCCAGATGTTTCAAGAAAGGAATCAGGTTCTTCTTTGTCTGATTTAGATTTTTCCTCTTTCTTTTCTGAAATCTCTTCTTGTCCAAGAAAGGGTGGTGACTTAATATTGTCCAAAGACATTTCATCATCTTTATCATCATAAGTAGCTTTAGCAGGCAACGCTTTATTAAGACCTGAGACCACAGCTGTTGCTGCTTCGGTTGATACCATGTTCTTCTCTTTTGTAGAAACTGAGTCAATACCTTGGGTCTGTTCTGCACTAAGTGGGGTGACAACCGATGTCTGGGTGCTGTCCATTTGTAATTTTGTTTTAGGTTCTTGTTTTCTTGGTGTATCTTTCGCTGGAATTTCCTGCAGTGGGTTTTCTTGCATTTCTGTTTTTTGCAGATGATCTGTATTTTTCTTTTTATGAGAAGCGTCTTTTAGGCCAGACACAGATGTAGACACTTTACTAGGTGATGTCTGGGATTTTATGGGAGGGGGATTTTCAGCTTCTGCTGTCATAACAGCTCTTTGTACCTGGCAAGTCAGGCACAGCCACTCCATCTGTCAGAATGAAAACATTAAAGTATCTGTAAGACAACAGTATAGTAGTAGATATAAAGATTCCATTTTTTTTTAACATTTTATATTTATATTTTTTGCCTTTTTATGGCTACATTAATGTATTAGTTTTAGCTTTTTAACATTTTATATTTATTTTTTAGAGTATTTTTTGCCTTTTTATGGTTACATTAATGTATTAGTTTTAGCTTTTTTCTCAGTTTAAAAATATTGCTTAATTTTTCCTGTATTTCGAGCAGACATTCATCCATCCAGCCATCAATTTACCCATCCATCCATCCATCATGAATGTATGAACATAAAAAAATAGTTTTCTTACCTGGGATTCACTTGTCATGGGGTTAAATCCACATTGGTTGCAAACAATATTCTTGCACTCTGTACAGGTGTTGTAGTTAGGCTGGTCATTACAAGTAGTCTTAAGATCAACCTTACATAGTGGACAGGTAGATGGCACTGAAGGAGCCTTTGGATGAGATTTTGCAAAAGTTCCGTTGGGATGAAGAACGTCCTGAACTTGTTTCCCCTCTATAAGAGGATCTTCCACTTTTTTCCAATCCGACAACTTTGGAGTTTCTTGTTGTACGTTATTAGGCTGTTCCTGAACAGCTGAGGTAATTAAGTTAGATGCGGAACTTAAAATAGAAGAGCCATGGCTGAACATCATACCACTTACTGGCTGTGACAGCTTATTCACTGATTCTTTTTGGATACTATTTTCCATCAGTTGAATTTTTCTTGCATGTTCTGGTGATTTTTTTATATTCGTAATCTCAGTTTTGTTACCGCTCTCTGCTGAAGCTGATTCTGCAGGCGGTTTTCTCTGAGGTGACTTAAGTAACAAGTCCTTCGTTGCTTGTTTGGGGTTACTGATCATGTCAACCTTTTCAGGCTTTGTCGATATCTGAGGTTTGACAGAAGTGGCCTCTTGAGGCTGTGTTACTCCGAGAGCTCTTTGCATCTGGCAGTTTAGACACAACCATTCCATTGCCTAAAATATAAAGAAAAGGTAGTGTGCTATCATATTTCGTCTATCATATTTCAATAAAGTAATGGGAAGAAATATAAAGAAAAGGTAGCGTGCTATCATATTTCAATAAAGTAATGGGAAAGCAATGCATAAAACTAACAAAATATACGTGGAAGGTGAAATACTTAAATGCTGGAAAGGAAAAAAAAAAAACAATTTCTACATAGTACACCTAAAAATACTCACCTCTGTTTCAGTTGGCACAGGGCTGAATCCACACTGTTTACAAACAGTGTCTCCGCATTTAGTGCAGGTATTATAATTAGGTTCACCACTAGACCCGACATTGAGTTTAACTTTACAGAGCGGACACGTTGACTGGCCTGGTTTGCCAGCAACTTGGGAGAGTGCTTTGACATTCGGACGCTTCCCTTGGTCTTCTTTCCCTTGGCCAGCAGCAGGTTTAACCTCTTTTGCAGGGGACAATTTGGGAGAAACAGGTGGGGTTGCCTTGGGTTGGTCCTGAACTGCTGAAGTTAAAAGGTTCGAGGCAGAACTGAAAATTGATTGACCAAAGCCAAACTTTTTTCCACTAGCTGGCTCAGCATGGTTCGCCGAGTCAAGTTGTGGTTTAGAACCTCCAAAGCTGAAGAAGCCTGATGTTGTTTGCTGTGTCTCTGGAGTAGCTTTACTTTGCTTACTTTCAGGTTGGCTTAATGGTTTGCCAGAACCTTCTTTCTGTTGTTCTTGTCTTCTCTGTTGTAATGATGTAGTAGCAGCTGTAGGTTTATCTGAAAGCACAGAAACTATGGACTTTTGCCTTTGTGCTGAAGGTGCCTCCGACATCTTCTGTTGGGGTTCAGATTGCTTACTAGAATTCACCAACTGAGTTGTAGAAGGTAAATGACCTTTGCCTTGTAAATGGGTGGGAGGCACTTTGGGCTGTGATACACCAACAGTTCTCTTCATCTGACAGTTGAGACACAGCCATTCTTTTACCTGAAACACAGCCAAAACAATATGCTTGGTTATATGATTACAGGTATGTGGACAGCAGACTTAAAACTGCACAGATTCAGTTGTCTTACAGAGATAAAAACAGATAAACAGCTACCGGCTCTTACACATCACAAAGATGAAGTTAGAAGTTAGAACAAAGAAGGAATCTCAAGAAAGATTTTCTACACTTACCTCTCCCATTGGCATGGGGTTAAATCCACATTGATTACATACAACTGTCTTACACTCAGTGCAAGTGTTGTAGTTAGGAGGGTTATTTGAAGTGAAGTCAAGCTTCACCTTACACAGTGGGCAAGTGCTCTGGCTTTTAATAAGACTTGATGAAGCCAGTTCCTCTTTGATTAGGTTGATTTTTGTTTGTTTTCCCGGTGACATTTTGGGGGAAACCGGTGCTTTGCCTTCTGCTTTAACCTTGGGGGAACCTTGTGCTGATGCGGACATCTTAGAAGAGTCTTGTGGCACATTATGCGATTCGTCTTGAACAGCAGATGATATTAAAGTTGACGCAGAGCTCAAAAAGGAAGAACCAAATCCAAACATCTTTCCAGTCACAGATTCTTTTGTTTGAGAAGCATCTAGTCCTGGTGTCTGTTGAGCTTGGTTTGGACCACTTGATGCTCCTTTTATATCATGTGGAATTTTACGAGCGGTAGGTGGGCAATCGTTTGTTTCTTTTACTGGAACCTTTTCAGTTTTATCTGCTGCTGGTGCTACAGTATCATGGGTATTTTTGGGTGATCCCGGTGCAACACCTTGATTTTGTCCAGTCTTTTTTGTATGCACCACAGATGGAGAAATGTTGTTAGTTCTTACTGGAGGTCCTGCAATTTCAGATGCGCTTAGAGCCCTCTGCATCTGACAACTCAGGCATAACCATTCTTTTACCTGCAATTAAAACAAAGTCAAATTAGAATATAGAATATTTTCTTTCGCTGTATTAGGCAAGCACATATGTTTATCAAAAGACACTTGACCTATGGTGAGTAAAAATCTTAGCTATGTTCACCTCTGAAACATTAGGCACTGGACTAAATCCGCACTGGTTACACACGTTCTTTTTGCATTCAGTGCACTTATTGTAGTTTGAAGGTTCCTTAGAGCCAACGTTGAGTTCCACCTTACAAAGTGGACAGGCTGATTGTAGTGGTTTGGGAACAGTGGGGGAACATTTTTGGGATGCTGAAGCAGCTTTTTCAGTCTTCATTTGCAGTGACGGTGATTGCTTTGTAACTTGTTCCAGCTTATTTCTCTCATTTTGTTTTTCAGTTGGTGGTGATTTGGCTCCTTTTGATTCGGCTGTCTTGGTAGACAGAAACGGGGATGTTTTAGGTTCATCTGGCACAGCTGAGCTCATTAAAGTTGATGCAGAACTCAAGATCGTTGACCCAAAGCCAAACATCCCACCTCCCATTGATTCAGTAGGTTTTGTATCAGCCGATGGAGGTCTACTGCCAAACCCAAAGAATCCGCCTGATCCACCTTGTTTTAGAGAGTCTCTTTTTTCCTCATTACTGGATTTAGTCTTCTGGTTAGATGGTCTCTGATATTTAGGGTCCAGAGTTGGGGTAATAGGTGTTGAGATGTTCTTGTTTGTAGGTTTGTCATTCTGTAAAATATCCTTCTTTAGACCACTGGCTGTTGTTTGCCCCCTATTTGGAGAGACCTGCATCTTTAGCACTGGGGTTCCTGGAGGGTCAGAGGCCCCCAGTGCTCTTTGCATTTGACAGTTGAGACATAACCACTCTTCCCCCTGTTTTTATAAAAGCATAATTGAAATACAATTAGGGTATTGCTAACACAAACTGCAACCTTTCATGACAAACAAAAAAAAACATAAGTATAATGTTTCCATTCTACTGACTTACCTCTTTTGCATCATAAGTATAACAATAAGTATAATGTTACCATTCTACTGACTTACCTCTTTTGCATTTGGCATTGAATTAAATCCACAGTGGTTGCAGACAACATTTTTGCATTCTGTGCAGGCTCTGTAGTTGGGTGGATCTTTTGATCCAACATTGAGTTCTGCTTTACAGAGAGGACAGGTTGATAAAGAAAGAATCTTGGTCTTTTGGACTTCATCTTTTGCAATGTCCTGGTCTGATTTCTTGGAAATGTTTCTCTCTGGCATTGCAGTTGTTAATTTTGGAGAGACTGGGGGTGTAGTTTTTTGATTATCATGGACAGCTGTGGAAATTAAGGTTGATGCAGAACTGAAGATGGAGGAGCCAAAACCAAACATTTTTCCTTTTACTGACTCAGTGGGATTTACGGCTGTAGGTTGACTCTTAGGTTCCCCTGATTCTGTGGCACAACTTTGTGTTTTTGGTGTTTGGCTTGTCTCTCCAGTGTTCTGCTGAGGAAAAGTTAGTTGGCTTTGCTTGTGTTGAGTTGTTTTTGGACTAGTAGTAGCTTTGCAGTCTGTATGACCACCTGCTCCCTTAGCAGCTCCAGTTTTGGCTCCAGGTTCACCTGCTCCAGAAGCTCTTTTAACCTGGCAGTTAAGACAGAGCCACTCCTTTCCCTTAAAGACAAACATAACCTTTGTTACCAACATTTTGTCTTATCACCAAATTGATTTGATCAACGGAAAAGAAAATGCATGCACATGTGGATTTGCCAGAGAACGTTGGATAAGAGCTCTCGCTCTTGCCTGTCATTAAGTGATGCCTGATGCTAAACAAAAAACGGAGGACTGTCAAGTATATTTTAAAATGGGTACTAGTAGAATTTATTATTATTTAAGTAAATACACCTTTTACCTAACTACATTTCAAGTACTTTTTCTGAGGAGGACAACATGAGCCGGTGAGCGGCACCGTGACAAGAAGAGACAACACGGATCTGTCCTCACATCCATCGTTATGGTAAACGGATGAGTTAATGGCACTGACTGATTATCAGAGGGAACACTGGTGTGTGTTGCATCTCAGTGTTCACAGGGACATGGATAAACTCTTCTCTGTTCCTTTCTGGTGAACAGATTCCTTTCGGGGATAATTTAAGTACTATCCTATCCTATTTCCAAGACAAACAGCCTATGCTACTACTTGTTTAAAATCAGGCTCCTTCTTGTGTAAAACCAGTTCAGCAGGTAGACACATCGCTTCACCATTTTGTGAGCAAACGTTTACAATAATACAGAAAATTATTTTTTTTTAAAAAACTAATCAATTGGTCGAATGAGTCATAGGTGCACGTAGGTGCAAAATAATTATCGCTACAGATCACTGTCGATATCAGGAATGTATGACTTCAGTTTGATAAGTCTATCATAATGTATATTTTCATCATCACAGTGATGTGTGTTGCTTTTTATTCAGGCGCTCCGGGTATGGAGCTAGAACAGTCTCAAAAAGAATAAATACAGAAACAAGGATTCACAAATGTACTTTGAAAATTCACAAATGTATTTCGAAAATTCACAAATGTATTTGGAATATTTACATATGTATTTTGAAACTTCACAAATTTAATGCATGTGAAGATATTTGTTAGTTTCATAAAATCCATTTGTGAATTGCCTAACGTGCATTTGTGGATCCTTGTTTGTGTATTTTATTCTTTATGAGACTGTTCTAACTCCATACTCCGGGCTCCCAAGAGCGCTGAAGGGTGCTGCGTTCAAGTGGCATTGTCGTAATTTTTATGCTGAAAACAACTTTCAACGCTGACCTGTCTTGATATAAACGTCTTATCTAGGGTGTTCTACCCAATATCCAGTTTGTTACACATAAACCATAGAAATATGAACGTAAAAAGGTCAGGAAAACTACTCCACAACCCAGGATGGGGAACTTCTGTCATCCACATTATATATATATATAAACTGCCTGGCCAAAAAAAAAGTCGCCACCAAAAAAAAGGGTCATACACTCTAATATTTCATTGGACCGCCTTTAGCTTTGATTACAGCACGCATTCGCTGTGGCATTGTTTCGATAAGCTTCTGCAATGTCACAAGATTTATTTCCATCCAGTGTTGCATTAATTTTTCACCAAGATCTTGCATTGATGATGGTAGAGTC